GCTGACTGCTCCTCTCCCATCATGCCACAATACCTCTTGCGATCATAAGGGGAGTATGTAGAGGGGGAGTGAGGGGAGGAGGCGTAAGAACGGGAGTAGTAAGGGAAAGTGGAGGGGGAGGGGGAGGGGGAGGGGGATGGAGAGGAGGAGGAAGAGGAGGCACGTCTAGCTGGCGGCCGCGCGCCGGCGGTTGCTCGATTCCACATGGCCAGCCGAACCTCCAGGTTCGCAAACCGCTGTTGCTGCTGCGAACAGGTTCGGCTGCTAAAACTCGGGCTTGGAAGTTCCAGAGCGGCTTGATGGCGAGTGTCACCCGCTGGCGACGTCCAGGTTTGCAAACCGCTGCCGCTGCCGCTGCCGCTGCCGCTGCTGCTGCTGCCGCTGATGTCGGCGTAAGGTGACGTCATGATAGAAGTAGTAGTATTAGTCCTGAATCCGGATTCCAATCCAAGCCTGGGCCGATCGGAACAGTAGAGGCGTAAGCAGATCGGATGTACTGAAGGTCCAAAGGTTGGGCACGTGAACGAAATTTAGAGTCGCCGAGACAGAAGCCAAAAAGAAGTTATAATAAATAAATAAAATTCAGAAATTGGTCTGCAAGCTGAAAGCATGACAAATCGGTGCTGAAGGTGGAACCGATGGTAATAGTAGTGGTAGTCGCTCATAAGGTATCGGCGGTGATGATCGTCAGCAGTGGCACTCCGAGTCGATGCGAATATCGGGGGCTTGGTGGAAGTACTACTATGACTTTTTACACTCCGAGTCGCAGCCTGGTACTCGGCTAAAGGTCGAGTTTCTTAATGTCCGACGCGAAAGGAGAGGCCATTTTCTTGTCTCGTGATGATTTAGCGAAACTGAGGAAACTGTGTTGTGATGCTACGTAGTTATACTGCTTCATTAAAGGAAGAGGGAGCTCATGCTGTTACCGTGACAGATTATCCGTTGGGGCGATGGCAAACGGGGGAAGTGGGGGGGAGTTGGGGGAGTAAGTGGAGGGGGGGAGGGGGGGGGGGGATAACTCATCCCTTGGGAATATAACCCCCCAGAGTCAGGAGAAAAAAGTGCAGAAGGACCAATCATATGGCTTAAAAAAGAGTTAATGCGAAAATGGAGCCCCCGAAATGCGCGGAGCGGAGTCGCGGGAAAGCCCGCGTCTAACCGGATTTGTTCGGTCTTGATTGGAGTAGTCTACTCGACAGACGGCGATGACAGACGAATGCGGTGCTGTGGAAAGAAGTTTGAAAGGCGACAAAACAGGAGAGTGAACAAGGAGAGTGGGATGGGAAGGGTGGGGGGCGGCGTCGCTCCCGCAACGGTTGCGGAGAAGGGGGGTGGGCCTTTGGATCGTGATTAGTGAGGAGACAGACGGGAGAAGCCATGGCGAACAGAGGAGGCGAGGCGACATGGAGACTGACGATGAGTGGAGAGGAGATACAGTACTGTATGACAAAGAAGAGGAGTGCGTCGTGTTACGGATGGGGAGGGGAGCCTTCAAGAAAGTGTTCAGACCAATTGCAATCAAGACTGGCGCTTTCCCGTGACTATGCAACATTTGGTGGTCGCCGATTCCGTCGGCTAGTAAGCACATCGAATCCTAGTAACTACGTTGGTATATGCCGACGGGTTGAAACTAATCAACTGTGCATCACCACGTGGATATAGAAGCCGATGTAAATGGAAAATCCCGAGACGCCCTAAAGCAAACCGTTACAGTCGTGCTGTAATTCCATAGATTCCGGTCTAGAAGCTGCCAAGAAATCACAGATTTTTGACAATGTTCTGTCCCACGATTTTGTAGCAGCGGAAAAAAGGTTGTGAGACGTTGGCGTCTGGAAACATGGAGAGAAAGACGAAGTGAAATATGCAAGCAAGCTCGAGGTGAGAGGGGGAACTGACAAGACAAGGCTGCAGAGCAGATCGCTTGCGGAACAGAATGGCGGTGGAGTTGAAATGCTTCTGTGAAGCAGTATGGAATCAACTGGGAGAAATTTGAAGTTGTGGAGATCGGCATCCTAGCACAGGATCGTGAGAGCAACCACGTACCCACTCATATTTTTTAAGTTGTCCTAAAATGCCCAGACATAAATCGCATCCGTCTGGTATCCATCATCAAAAGCCTCATATGGGCGCCGTTCGATTGCACTGTAATTTTTTGTACAGCCACATCACAGTGTGTCCGAGTCGCCCCTAGGGTTTCCGAACCTAGGGTCACTTCACGACATATTCAACTTGCTGGCAACACAATCTTGCTTCACCATTGTTCAGATTTGACAGCTGTGGAAACAAACAAATCCCACACAGTCAAAACCGCGTTCACCACAAGTAAAACAACGAGCTACAAAATTGTGCATTAAATGCACTACATGACAACAGGGGCACTAGTACCGGCTGCAATCTCATCCCCAAGACTCCTGGAGGCCACAGCTGCTTACCCCTCCGTCCAACTCCGAGCTGTGAGAGATAGGAAAAAAAAAACCAAAGGGGTTGAATCTGAAACTCCCCGTCATCCTCCTGAACCAAGCATATCCAGGATGATGTGGCGTCTCGTTTCTGCTGAGGTACACCGTGTCGCGCGCCTCGACGAGGTCGTAAATGAGTGGTCGATGTACGTAGTTGTGATCCCGCAGTGGGTAATATACGCGACTTTTGAGGCGGGTCCAAATACGTTCCACAGCACCGCTACCCTAGGAAGCGCTCATTGCTGTGCTCATTCGAAGGAATGAGGATCGAGTGAGCTAACAGCGGAGAGATGAGTTCGGTTGAAAAGGGGAGTGTTCTTGGTAGAACCAATACCCTCGATTCAGGTTGGGGCAGAAGGGGGCGAAGTTCAATCTACCCAGAGCCCTGCCCGAACTCTTTACACCTTCAAAGTGGCATTGGGGAGGCTGTCGTTGTTGCAGCTAGTGGAAACCAAGCCTTTTTTGCCCGTGAAGTACTGTTGCTTGACCAGCAGGCAACAGTGTTTTTACCGCGGTCCGCAGCGAAAATTACCGCACCAGATTCGTAGGTGGGCCGAACGTACTTCAGGTTCTGGTTCGGATAAGCCTAACCTCTCGTGGGGTTTAAAGCCCAGGTGTGCTGCTGTCGAGCCTTTACCGAACCACGCAATACTGTGATAGGGCTGTGGTTACCCCTGGACTGTGAAGCTATCGAACGGCGCCATGATGTGAAGTGGAAACACAGTGTGTACCGGAACCGAAATCAGATGACCTCGGAATGATACATTTTAGTTCCTGTCCCAGCCAAAACTGGAAACTCGTACACTCCCCCATGTAGCCCAGAGGTTAATAGCGTGGACCCAAACGGGTTTGATCGCCTCGGTCAGCCGCGTTCAATCAGGGGCAATCAGCTGATCGCGATCAGCTGATCTCACCAACTCGATCAGACCCAATTACCCCCCGATCATAGTCGATTCTCTTCGATCACCCACGATCAATTGATCGTGGGTGATCGGGGACTACAGCGATACTGACGAAAAGTTACACTGTATTACAAGGATTCGTCAGCCCCTCACGAAGATGTCCAGCCTATACAGAACACCCTGGAAAGTTACACTATGTTACTTGGATACAGAGAGTTTCGCCAGAAGCCGTCTGGTCGCCAGTCTCGCTAAGATTGCCACGAAAATACCAGGTAATTAAATCCCGCTTGCTGAGCAGCCAAGAAAAATCTTCCAAGAAAAACATTACTGATCGAGCGGCTCGGGCATTGCGATCACAAGCAACCCGATAAGATCCGCCCCGATCAGATCAGTCGCGATCAAACCCGTTTGGGCCCACGCCCTAAGTGTTCAAAGCGCACCACTTCCATCCGTCGCTCGAGAGCTTGGCCCAGACCTAGGCTGCCCCACTCGATGGATTTGACACGGGAGGGTGAATATCCTTCGACAGAACGGTTACCGCAAGTTACGGTTTCACTGTAATCCCTTAGTCGCGCTGGACTCTGCCTCCGCGCAGCGCCACCCCTTGTTTGGTCGTGTCATGTCCTCGTGTCGTGTCGACGTGTCGTTTCATGCTTTGTGTGACTCGTGGAGGGAAATGCAACGACGTTCGTGACTCGTGCCCGACACTGTGCAGTGCACATGAGAATGGACGAACGTACAGTACGTGGTCTCGTCATATCCATTCGTTTCATGTTGTCGTATCCTTCCTGGTATTGCGGTGGCCTTGGCCTCCTTCTCGTCACATCCATTCACTTGTTCAGAGTCCACTGACAAGTGGAAAGGTGAATCCGCTGTGAGCAAGTGTAGCAGGCGCTTCCCAGTACAATAGATGTCAGCCACAGTACAATATAATCAAAACAAAAGCACCACACAACCAACCTCGATAGCACATCATGTTCCCACCACAACCACGCTCTCCAAGCATTGAGTTAAGTTATTCGGCCTTGAACAAGGCCTAGACAATACACACTCCTATAATTGAATTACATGATTGTCAAACCCCGTCCTACTATCCTCCTCTCATTCCCCCCTCCCCCTCCCTTCCACCACTCATCTTCCCCCTGTCAACACACCTCACACCCTCCACTCACCCCTCCTCCTCCCCTGCACCCCCTCCTCTCCGTCTACCAGCCCTTCAATCAAAGCATCCACATCCAAGTTCAACCAGCCTCACCTCCACCTCCTTCTCCTCCTGCCCCAAACACACCAACAAATCATTCAGCTCCGTCTCACTCTCCCTTGCCCTCAGCGCTTCTTCTTTCCACTTATCCTCCACCTTCCCCTCATCCTCCTACCCTCCACCTTCGTCACCTCCTGCCCCAAAAACAACCAGTCAGCTCCGTCTCACTCTCCCTCGCCCTCAGCGCTTCTTCTCCTTCCACCTATCTTCCACTTGCCCCTCATCCTCCTACCCTCCACTCACCCCTCCTCCTCCTCCCCATCCCCCTTCTCTCCCTCCACTATTCCGTCCATCAAACCATCCACATCCTCCCCAAGTTCAACCAGCCTCCCTCTCAACCCATTTCAGCTTCTTGCCTCAAATGAAAATAACCCCTGGTCACCCCTCCTCCTCCTCCTCCCCGCTCCCCTCCTCTCCCTCCACTATTCCATCCATCAAAGCATCCACATCCTCCCCAAGTTCAACCAGCCTCCCTCTCAACACCTCCACCTTCTTCTCCTCTTGCCCCAAACACACCAGCAAATCATTCAATTCTGTCTCACTCTCCCGCTGAGCCTCCTCCCGAGCCTCCTGCCGAGCCGCTTCCACCCGCTCCTCCACCTCAGATTCGGGCACCACCGAGCCTGCTCCTGCACCTGCAGCACCGCCCGAACCTGCGGCTGCGGCAGCAGCTTCGGCCGAAGCTAGGCTGGCTCGGAGACTTTCAGTGGTGGATTGGAGGGTTTTGACCTCCCCTTCTAGTCTGAGATTCTCCTGCTCTAAACTGTGGTAGGCCATGGATAGAGCCTGCAAGTCTGCTTCTTTGCCTGCTGCCACTTGCCGAACCTGGAAGGGGGAGAGGGAGGGGGGCGAGGGAAGGAGAGGAAGGTAGGAAGTAGTGGTGAGTCGAAGGTTAATACCTCCCCTTCTAGTCTAAGATTCTCCTGCTCTAGACTGTGGTAGGCCATGGATAGAGCTTGCAGGTCTGCTTCTTTACCTGCTGCTACTTGCCGCACCTGGAAGGGGGAGAGGGAGGGGAGAGAGAGGGAGGGGAGAGAGAGGGAGGGGAGAGAGAGGGAGGGGAGAGAGAGGAAGGGAAAAGAAACAATGTCTAGGAGTGAGAAATGGGGTTGCAGTTTTGACCTCCCATTTCAAGGCTCTCTTGCTCTAAACTGATATGCCACAGGACAAGGGCAGGATGACTTCAGAGTCGACTCAAAAGTCAGTTAGACTGATTGTGCCATGGGGAAGTGGGGGTGTGGGTGTGGGTGTGGGTGTGGGTGGGTGGGCGGGTGGGAAAAGCCTCCAGGTCTGCTAACCTCTACCACCCACCCACCCACCCACACCAACACCCCCACTTCCCCCTGCCCTTGCTTCCCTCCCCCCCCTCCCCCTCCCCCTTCACACACCCACCCACTCACCCACCATACACACCACCCTACCTGTATGTAGTGTCACATTTACGTGTCCTATACAAACACTAACCACCCTACACAACACAACACAACACAACACAACACAACACAACACAACACAACACAACACAACACAACACAACACAACACAACACAACACAACACAACACAACACAACACAACACAACCACAACACAACACAACACAACACAACACAACACAACACAACACAACACAACACAACACAACACAACACAACCACAACACAACACAACACAACACAACACAACACAACACAACCACAACACAACACAACACAGCACAACACAGAACAACACAGCACAACACAACACAACACAGAACAACACAACACAACACAACACAACACAACACAACACAACACAACACAACACAACACAACACAACACAACACAACACAACACAACACAACACAACACAACACAACAACACAACACAACACAACACAACACAACACAACGCACACCACACACACCCTACCTGCATCAACTCGCCCAGAAGAGTCTCCGGCTCCCCTCTGAGTGTCGCCCCACTCGCCTCCGCCTCCGCCAGCTGGGCCACCACTAACCACTACCCCGCACACAGCAGGCACACATTCCTGCATCAACTCGCCCATAAGCGTCTCCTGCTCCCGTCTGAGCGTCGACTTTTGAGTCGACTCAAAAGTCGAATCAAAAGTAAAGTCGACTCAAAAGTCGAATCAAAAGTAAAGTCGACTCAAAAGTCGAATCAAAAGTAAAGTCGACTCAAAAGTCGAATCAAAAGTTGAGTCGACTCCAAAGTCACCAACCCCACCTGCATAAGTTCTCCCATGAGTGTCTCTTGCTCCCCTCGAAGCGTCGCCACGCTCCCTTCCGCCTCCGCCAGCTGGCGCCGGGCGGATTCCAGCTCAGCGTGAGTTGGCGCTGCGCCGGCGCCGCCCGCGCCGTCCGCTGACGTGGCGGCCTGTGACTGGTCGCTGGCACCGGTGTCAGAGGAGGGGGATTGTGGAGCGAGTTGCATGGCGTCTTTCGCAAGGGCCACGTTGCGACTGCGCAGGTGCTGTGGGGGGAGGGAGGAAGGGGAGTTTGGTGGGAGTTGAGGTGCATCGCATCCCTTGCGAGGGCCACGTTGTGACTGTGCAGGTGCTGTGGGGGGGAAGAGAAAGGGAGAGGGAGGTGCATGAGGAGCCAGATGGGTGCAAAAGTAGTTACGTGGAGCTGCAGATGGTTTCAAGTGGCTATGACAGGAGTGGAATGCGGTGAAAAGGCTAGAGGGGAACCCTACCTGAAGCTCCTGATGCTGCGACTGAAGCATTGCTCTCAGCCTCCCTGCATACTCCCCCTCACTCTCTCCATCCTTTCGGTTCACATCCATGCTTCCCTCTCCCCCTCCTCCCCCCTCCCCACCCCCGCCTCTCGGCATCGAAAACAGCTGCACCACTCTCAATCGCACTGCCTCCTCCAGCACCAGCACCGATCGCACAAACTCGCGATCATAAAACGAGGCAATGGGCGGCTCGAAATCCAGACTTGATGCGCTAGGAACAGCTGGCACGCGACTTGCTGCTGCTGCAAGCCCAGCACCAGCAGAAGAGGTGGCAGCAGAGCCTGCCCCACCTTCCTCTGTCATCTCACTGTGTTTGCTACCGCTGCTGCTGCCGCCCCCTTCCCCAGACTTACCCACCCCTGCTCCACCCGCCCCGCCTCCCCCACCCCCACCTGCTGCCTCTGCAGCAGCAGTGGTTCTCGTAAGGGGTTTCGGCGACCGCGGTCCCGCCCCCCCTGCAAGGAAGTACGGGTCCCGCTTCAAGTCCTCTATACGGGCAAAGAAAGCAGCCAGGCCGATGCGCTGCGTGATGATATCCACCACTGTGGCGGCGTCTGTGGGGCCTGTGTTGTCGTTGAAAACCACGCAGGCGCCTAGGACGAGAGAGGCTAGTCCTCCTACATGCACCGCCACCCCCCCTCCTGCTCCTCCTGCTGCTCCTGCTGCCTCGTCTGCCCCTCTCCCGTCGACCTCTCCCCCCACTCCTCCTCCGCTTCGTTTCCGGTCACCTGCTGCGTCATACCCGTCAGAATACCCATCCCCGTACCCTCCTCCACGGCTTGATCCCCCGTGTTCCTCCCCGTCCTCTCCCGTGCCGCCACCTGGCAGCGCGGCGGCTGCTGCTGCTGAGCTGGCGGCGCTGACGAGGCCGACGAGGAACGGCAGGTGGCCGGGCGGCGCGAGGAAGGCCGCGACAGCTGGCGGGCAGTCGGAGAGCCACGTCAGCAGCAGGCGGAGCAGCACGGGTTGAAGCCAGACGGCCGACGGGGAGGAGGAGGAGGAGGAAGAGGAGGGGGAGGAGGAGAAGGAGGAAAACGACGAGGCGAACGAGGAGTAGAGGGAGTGGGAAGAGGAAGATTGGTGGTGCGAGTGCGGGTGTGAGGAAGTGGGAAGGGGGGGAGAGGGAGGGGCGGCGGCGGCAGCGAGGTAACGCATGATGCGGGGCATGAGGAGTTCAGGAGGGGCGAGGGCGGAGGTGGGGATCTGCAAGGGGATGCGCAGCACTCGCTCTTTTGCTGCTGAGTTGCCCGTGAGGAGGTGCGAGAGCACGCTGGCTGCCCTGCAGCTGGCTTCTAGGGCTTGCTCGCTCTGCCCTGCTATCAGCGCCCGCACCAAGATGCTGGGAGGGAAAGGGGGAATGGGGGGAAAGGAAGGACAAATTTGACCTCCTGGAGAGAAGGGGTGGGAATCTGCAGAGGTGGGGATGTGCAAGGGGATGCGCAGCACTCGCTCTTTTGCTGCTGAGTTGCCCGTGAGGAGGTGTGAGAGCACGCTGGCTGCCCTGCAGCTTGCTTCTAAAGCCTGCTCGCTCTGCCCCGCTATGAGTGCTGGTAGAGCGGGCAGGACCAAGATGCTGGTAGACCATGGGGGAGGAAGGGGGGGGGAATGAGGGAGGAACGAAGGGAGTTGGCGGTGAGTGAGGAGGTGCGACAACACACTCGCAGCCCGGCAGCTCCCCTCCAAGCCTCGCTCGTTCTGCCTCGCTCGTTCTGCCTCGCTCGTTCTGCCTCGCTCGTTCTGCCTCGCTCGTTCTGCCTCGCTCGTTCTGCCTCGCTCGTTCTGCCCCGCTCGTTCTGCCTCGCTCGTTCTGCCCCGCTAGCAGTGCTTGCAGAAAGATGCCCCACTTTGTTTTATTCCAGAACAGGCTTCACGTTTTGAGTCGACTCAAAACACGCTAGCAGTGCTTGCAGAAAAATGCCCCACTTTTTTTTATTCCAGAACAGGCTTCACCAGACTTGACGTCGCAATTCTCCACACATCATCACACTCACCCTCACCATGCTCCATGCACCACCACAGTCCATGCATCACCTCACCACCATCCATGCATCACCACCGTCCATGCATCACCACCGTCCATGCATCACCACCGTCCATGCATCACCACACCACACCCACCCTCCAAACGTCAGGTTTGCCGTATCATCAGCCGCATAGGCCCCATTGCTCCTCCTCCTCCCCCTCCTTGCCTGCGACACTCACTCACCCTCCAAAGGTAAGGTTTGCCACATCAGCCCCCATTGCTGCTGCTCCTCCACTCTTGCCCTTGCCCACCATCAAACTCACCCTCACCATGCTCCATCCATCACAATCACTCACCCTCCAAACGTCAGGTTCGCTGCATCATCAGCCGCATCAGCCCCCATTGCACCTCCTGCTCCCCCTCCTTTATCCCCATCGTCTCATGCATCATCATCAGCTAAATTGCCCTTACTCGTCACCACACTCACCCTCACCATGCCCCATGCATCACCACACTCACCCTCACTCACCATGCTCCACGCATCATCACACTCACCATGCTCCATGCACCACACTCACTCACCCTCCGAACGTCAAGTTTGCCGCATCATCAGCCGCGTCAGACCTCATTGCACCTCCTCCTCTCTTGCCCTTGCCCGCGACGCCTTGCGGCAGGGGTGTGATGGTGGACGCTAGCATGGTCCATACATCATCACACTCACACTCACCCTCCAAACGTAAGGTTTGCCGCATCATCAGCCGCGTCAGGCCCCATTGCACCTCCTCCTCGCTTGCCCTTGCCAGCGACTCCTTGAGGCAGGGGTGTGATGGTGGAGGCCAGCATGGTCTGCCCCTCGCTGTTGCCCTGCAGAGGCGGGGAGCAAAGGGGGGATTGAAGGAAGGGGGGATGGGCGGTTATGTGCTTCCGATGGTGGGGTAGCTCTGCGACCCCTTGAGGCAGGGGTGTGATGGTGGACGCTAGCATGGTCTGCCCCTCGCTGTTGCCCTGCAGGAGAGGAAGGGAGGGGGGAAGAGGGGAGGAGAGAACGAGCACGTGTTTCAGATTGCGGTGGGGTAACCCAGGAATGCCTTGAGGCAGGGGTGTGATGGTGGACGCTAGCATGGTCTGCCCCTCGCTGTTGCCCTGCAGACGGACAAAAAGGTGGGCAGAGGTGGAAGGAGGAAGGAGGAGGGAGGAAGCAGGTGAGATCCGAGAGCTCTCTTTCCCTCCAAATCCCCTTCCCCATCAACTCTGAAACCCCCCCCTCCCCCGACCCCCTCCACACATGCACCTCACAGAAGCATCGGATGGCATAGTCAGCAGCAGAGCTCTCCCTCATCGTATGCACCCATCTCCTCCCCCACCCATCGTATGCCTTGACACAGTGCAGCGCTGGCTCCATCTCCTCCCCCACCCTGCTGCATGTCATCCCCCCACCCCCCATACCCTAGTTGGTATCCCCCCCCCCTTGGTTGTACCTCTGAACCTGGAGAGCTTCCTTTCGCCTCCCAACCCCCCCTCCCACCTTCCTTTAAAAGTACCCTCTTCCCCCCTCCCCCACACACGCACCTCACAGAAGCATCGGATGACATAGTCAGCAGCAGAGCTCTCCCTCATCGTACTCGCCCTCAGAGCCACCCAGACACCCTCCCTCCCCCCCAGCCAAGTTAGTAACCGCTCTCAACCCCCTTCCACCCACACACGCACCTCACAGAAGCATCGAATCACATAGTCAGCAGCAGAGCTCTCCCTCATGGTACTCGCTCTCAGAGCCACCCGCAGCACACAGTGCAACGCCGGCTCCATCTCCTCCCCCGCCCCCCTCAACAACTCCTCCTCCTCCTCTCCATCCTCCTCCTCTCCCCACCCACCCTCCCCTCCTCCTCCCCCTCCCCTCCTCCCTTTCCTCGGCCCCCACCCAGCATCCCGATACAGAAACGTGGTCGGATCAGACCTGCTAATCAGCTTACTCCCCAGCTCCTCCCGATTCGCTGCATGCCCCAGCACCAACCCTCCCAACGCCTTCAGCGCTTGCGTCCGAATCGCTGAAGAGTTTACTAGTGGGTCGAAGGCTAGAGCCAGCAGAGAGTCCATCAGCCGTGCATGGCCTAGCAAAGTCTGGTTTGCGATCAGGTTAGTGTCGTCTTTCAGGGTGGCTGCGTGGGGGTTTCGGGCGAGCAGCAGAGCGACTGTTTCGAGCCCACAGAGGAGATTCGCTGCCTTCTGCCGGGTCAGAGGCTCAGTTCTCTCTAAATTGCTACTGCTACTGCCGCCGCCGCCGCCGCCGCTGCCGCTGCCACTGTTGGTATTCTCGTCGCTGCTGCTGGTGGTGCTGGTGCTGTTGCTGCCGGCAGCAGCAGCAGTGGTGGCGTATTTTCGGAGGGAGAGGAGCAGAGCGGGGATGCGGGACAGGCCGAGGGTTTCCCGGAGGAAGATTTGATTCGATACGTTGGAGCGGAGGAGGTTGTTGATGAGCTCAATGCAGTCCTGAACTACGATGCCTCCATCCGCCCCCCCCTCGTCTCGGATGATGTTGAGCGCTCTCTCAAAGGCGCCCTCGAATACCACTATCTTTTGAATCTCCTGTTGAAAAGGAGAGAGGGAGAGAGGGACAAGAGGTGGGAAAGGGTGGAGAGGGGTGAGGCGGGCAGTGGATCGGAGGAGAGGAGGAGGTTGTTGATGAGCTCGATGCAGTCCTGAACTACGATGCCCCCATCCGCCCCTCCCTCGTCTCGAATGATGTTGAGCGCTCGCTCGAATGCCCCTTGAAACACCAAAATCTTTTGAATCTCCTGGAGAAGAGAAGAGAGGGGGAGGTAAAGAACGGGGAAAACGGGGAGAGAGGGGGAGCCGGAGCGAGAAGGAGACAGGAGGAGAAGGCGAGAGAGAGGGAGACACCGGGGGGAAGGGGAGACACCGGGGGGAAGGGGAGACACCGGGGGGAAGGGGTGACACCGGGGGGAAGGGGAGACACCGGGGGGAAGGGGAGACACCGGGGGGAAGGGGTGACACCGGGGGGAAGGGGTGACACCGGGGGGAAGGGGAGACACCGGGGGGAAGGGGTGACACCGGGGGGAAGGGGAGACACCGGGGGGAAGGGGTGACACCGGGGGGAAGGGGTGACACCGGGGGGAAGGGGTGACACCGGGGGGAAGGGGTGACACCGGGGGGAAGGGGTGACACCGGGGGGAAGGGGAGACACCGGGGGGAAGGGGAGACACCGGGGGGAAGGGGAGACACCGGGGGGAAGGGGAGACACCGGGGGGAAGGGGTGACACCGGGGGGAAGGGGAGACACCGGGGGGAAGGGGTGACACCGGGGGGAAGGGGTGACACCGGGGGGAAGGGGTGACACCGGGGGGAAGGGGTGACACCGGGGGGAAGGGGTGACACCGGGGGGAAGGGGTGACACCGGGGGGAAGGGGTGACACCGGGGGGAAGGGGTGACACCGGGGGGAAGGGGTGACACCGGGGGGAAGGGGTGACACCGGGGGGAAGGGGTGACACCGGGGGGAAGGGGAGACACCGGGGGGAAGGGGTGACACCGGGGGGAAGGGGTGACACCGGGGGAAGGGGTGACACCGGGGGGAAGGGGTGACACCGGGGGGAAGGGGTGACACCGGGGGAAGGGTGACACGGGGGGAAGGGAGACACCGGGGGGAAGGGGAGACAAAGGGGGGAAGGGGTGACACCGGGGGGAAGGGGTGACACCGGGGGGAAGGGGTGACACCGGGGGGAAGGGGAGACACTGGGGGGAAGGGGTGACACCGGGGGGAAGGGGAGACACCGGGGGGAAGGGGTGACACCGGGGGGAAGGGGTGACACCGGGGGGAAGGGGAGACACCGGGGGGAAGGGGTGACACCGGGGGGAAGGGGTGACACCGGGGGGAAGGGGAGACACCGGGGGGAAGGGGTGACACCGGGGGGAAGGGGTGACACCGGGGGGAAGGGGTGACACCGGGGGGAAGGGGTGACACCGGGGGGAAGGGGTGACACCGGGGGGAAGGGGTGACACCGGGGGGAAGGGGTGACACCGGGGGGAAGGGGAGACACCGGGGGGAAGGGGAGACACCGGGGGGAAGGGGAGACACCGGGGGGAAGGGGAGACACCGGGGGGAAGGGGTGACACTGGGGGGAAGGGGAGACACCGGGGGGAAGGGGTGACACCGGGGGGAAGGGGTGACACCGGGGGGAAGGGGTGACACCGGGGGGAAGGGGTGACACCGGGGGGAAGGGGTGACACCGGGGGGAAGGGGTGACACCGGGGGGAAGGGGAGACACCGGGGGGAAGGGGTGACACCGGGGGGAAGGGGTGACACCGGGGGGAAGGGGTGACACCGGGGGGAAGGGGTGACACCGGGGGGAAGGGGTCACACCGGGGGGAAGGGGAGACACCGGGGGGAAGGGGAGACAAAGGGGGGAAGGGGTGACACCGGGGGGAAGGGGAGACACCGGGGGGAAGGGGTGACACCGGGGGGAAGGGGTGACACCGGGGGGAAGGGGAGACACCGGGGGGAAGGGGAGACACCGGGGGGAAGGGGAGACACCGGGGGGAAGGGGAGACACCGGGGGGAAGGGGTGACACTGGGGGGAAGGGGAGACACCGGGGGGAAGGGGTGACACCGGGGGGAAGGGGTGACACCGGGGGGAAGGGGTGACACCGGGGGGAAGGGGTGACACCGGGGGGAAGGGGTGACACCGGGGGGAAGGGGTGACACCGGGGGGAAGGGGAGACACCGGGGGGAAGGGGTGACACCGGGGGGAAGGGGTGACACCGGGGGGAAGGGGTGACACCGGGGGGAAGGGGTGACACCGGGGGGAAGGGGTGACACCGGGGGGAAGGGGAGACACCGGGGGGAAGGGGAGACAAAGGGGGGAAGGGGTGACACCGGGGGGAAGGGGAGACACCGGGGGGAAGGGGTGACACCGGGGGGAAGGGGAGACACCGGGGGGAAGGGGTGACACCGGGGGGAAGGGGTGACACCGGGGGGAAGGGGTGACACCGGGGGGAAGGGGTGACACCGGGGGGAAGGGGAGACACCGGGGGGAAGGGGTGACACCGGGGGGAAGGGGTGACACCGGGGGGAAGGGGAGACACCGGGGGGAAGGGGGTGACACCGGGGGGAAGGGGAGACACCGGGGGGAAGGGGTGACACCGGGGGGAAGGGGTGACACCGGGGGGAAGGGGGTGACACCGGGGGGAAGGGGAGACACCGGGGGGAAGGGGTGACACCGGGGGGAAGGGGTGACACCGGGGGGAAGGGGTGACACCGGGGGGAAGGGGTGACACCGGGGGGAAGGGGTGACACCGGGGGGAAGGGGTGACACCGGGGGGAAGGGGTGACACCGGGGGGAAGGGGTGACACCGGGGGGAAGGGGTGACACCGGGGGGAAGGGGAGACACCGGGGGGAAGGGGTGACACCGGGGGGAAGGGGTGACACCGGGGGGAAGGGGTGACACCGGGGGGAAGGGGTGACACCGGGGGGAAGGGGTGACACCGGGGGGAAGGGGAGACACCGGGGGGAAGGGGAGACAAAGGGGGGAAGGGGTGACACCGGGGGGAAGGGGTGACACCGGGGGGAAGGGGTGACACCGGGGGGAAGGGGAGACACCGGGGGGAAGGGGTGACACCGGGGGGAAGGGGTGACACCGGGGGGAAGGGGTGACACCGGGGGGAAGGGGTGACACCGGGGGGAAGGGGAGACACCGGGGGAAAGGGGTGACACCGGGGGGAAGGGGTGACACCGGGGGGAAGGGGTGACACCGGGGGGAAGGGGAGACACCGGGGGGAAGGGGTGACACCGGGGGGAAGGGGTGACACCGGGGGGAAGGGGTGACACCGGGGGGAAGGGGTGACACCGGGGGGAAGGGGTGACACCGGGGGGAAGGGGTGACACCGGGGGGAAGGGGTGACACCGGGGGGAAGGGGTGACACCGGGGGGAAGGGGTGACACCGGGGGGAAGGGGAGACACCGGGGGGAAGGGGTGACACCGGGGGGAAGGGGTGACACCGGGGGGAAGGGGTGACACCGGGGGGAAGGGGTGACACCGGGGGGAAGGGGTGACACCGGGGGGAAGGGGAGACACCGGGGGGAAGGGGAGACAAAGGGGGGAAGGGGTGACACCGGGGGGAAGGGGTGACACCGGGGGGAAGGGGTGACACCGGGGGGAAGGGGAGACACCGGGGGGAAGGGGTGACACCGGGGGGAAGGGGAGACACCGGGGGGAAGGGGTGACACCGGGGGGAAGGGGTGACACCGGGGGAAGGGGTGACACCGGGGGGAAGGGGTGACACCGGGGGGAAGGGGAGACACCGGGGGGAAGGGGTGACACCGGGGGAAGGGGTGACACCGGGGGGAAGGGGAGACACCGGGGGGAAGGGGTGACACCGGGGGGAAGGGGTGACACCGGGGGGAAGGGGTGACACCGGGGGGAAGGGGTGACACCGGGGGGAAGGGGAGACACCGGGGGGAAGGGGTGACACCGGGGGGAAGGGGTGACACCGGGGGAAGGGGTGACACCGGGGGGAAGGGGGTGACACCGGGGGGAAGGGGTGACACCGGGGGGAAGGGGTGACACCGGGGGGAAGGGGTGACACCGGGGGGAAGGGGTGACACCGGGGGGAAGGGGTGACACCGGGGGGAAGGGGTGACACCGGGGGGAAGGGGTGACACCGGGGGGAAGGGGTGACACCGGGGGGAAGGGGTGGAGAGAGAGTGGAGCGGAGTGGGGGATGCGGTGGAGCGGAGGAGGTCGGTGATGAGGTGAATACAGCCCCAGTGCGCATGGTGCGTTGAACGTGCACAGTACACATACAGCCCTGCACCACCATCCGCCCCAGTGCGCATGGTGCGTTGAACGTGCACAGTACACATACAGCCCTGCACCACCATCCGCCCCAGTGCGCATGGTGCGTTGAATGTGCACAGTACACATACAGCCCTGCACCACCATCCGCCCCAGTGCGCATGGTGCGTTGAACGTGCACAGTACACATACAGCCCTGCACCACCATCCGCCCCAGTGCGCATGGTGCGTTGAATGTGCACAGTACACATACAGCCCTGCACCACCATCCGCCCCAGTGCGCACGGTGCGTTGAATGTGCACAGTACACATACAGCCCTGCACCACCATCCGCCCCAGTGCGCATGGTGCGTTGAATGTGCACAGTACACATACAGCCCTGCACCACCATCCGCCCCAGTGCGCATGGTGCGTTGAACGTGCACAGTACACATACAGCCCACATTGAGGTCACTTTTGAGTCGACTCCAAAGCTGCCCCAGTGTGCATGGTGTGTTGAATGTGCACAGTATACATACAGTTCACATTCAACGTACCTCAGCGAAGTTGTGAGGTTGATCATGATCCCGAGAGCCTCCGTGTGTGTGTGCCTCCTTGGCCCCATCAGTTCTGACTTGGGCTACAATAATCACACACACACAGTGTAGAGCAGTGCGCTCGGTGCACAGCACAATGCACAATGCACAGTGCACGGAGCACGGTGCACAATGCACAGTGCACGGAGCACGGTGCACAATGCACAGTGCACGGTGAACCGGTCCACATCAACCCATCAGTTCTGACTTGGCTACTATACACACACACACACACACACACACACACACACACACACACACACACACACACACACACACACACACATTGTAGAGCAGTGCGCTCGGTGCACAGCACAATGCACAGCGCACGGTGAACGGTCCACATTCAACGTACCTCGGCGGAGCGTGTGAGGTTGATCATGAGAACGAGTGCCTCGTTGCACCCTTCCCCCCACCCTTCCAGAACTGCCCTTACCCAACGCTATTGTCTCATTCCTCTTCAACGTACCTCAGCGGAGCGTGTGAGGTTGATCATGAGAACGAGTGCCTCGTTGCAGCCTGCCTCCACCCTCCCCCCACCCTGCCCCCCACCAGCGTGCATAGTGCACCGTCCACATTCAACGTACCTCGGCGGAGCGTGTGAGGTTGATCATGAGAACCAGAGCCTCGTTGCGAATCACCTGATCATGCCATGCCATGCCATGCCATGCCATGCCATGCCATGCCATGCCATGCCATGGCAAGTTGACAAAAATATCACCATGCCGTGACATTCCACACCAAGCCATCCATGACATGCCATGCAATGCAACCAGCCATGACATGCCATGCAATGCAACCAGCCATGACATGCCATGCAATGCAACCAGCCATGACATGCCATGCAATGCAATCAGCCATGACATGCCATGCAATGCAACCAGCCATGACATGCCATGCAATGCAATCAGCCATGACATGCCAAGCAATGCAATCAGCCATGACATGCCATGCAATGCAATCAGCCATGACATGCCATGCAATGCAACCAGCCATGACATGCCATGCAATGCAATCAGCCATGACATGCCATGCAATGCAATCAGCCATGACATGCCATGCAATGCAATCAGCCATGACATGCCATGCAATGCAATCAGCCATGACATGCCATAGCATGCAATGCCATGCCATGCAATGCAATCAGCCATGCCGTGCCATAGCATGCAATGCTATGCTATGCAATGCAACGCAATACGAGCAGCATGGCGCAATCAGACACACACAATTTCAGAGCTATCACATGCATTGCTAGTAATCTTAAAAGGCGAAAAAATAAAGTGTCATTGGTTTCTTTCAATAAGGAAAAAGAGCAGCATAAGGGTAATTTGGAAGGGGGAGGATGTTGAGTATGGACGTCTCAACAGAAGAATGCAAGCGACAGCTGGTAAAAAGAAAAGAAGAGCGTTGAGTAAGGGTTGGGAGGGAAAGGGGGCGGGAACGCAGGGTGGAAAGGGCGGGTGGACGGGAAAGGGGGCAGGGGTGGGGGGCGAGGGTTGAACAGTGAAATGGAAAACGAGCATACAGGAACAGAAAGAGGCAATTCCACAGAAACAGAGCAGCAGTTCTGCCTGCCTGTCGCCCAACTCCCTCTCGCTCAGCGCCATCATATCCGTGAGCCGCCCTACGCCCCAAGCCCCACAACCCCAGTCCCACACTCCCAGTCCCACACTCCCAGTCCCACACTCCCAGCCCCACACCCAAAGAGCAGTGGGCCCTGGGCTCGTGACCTCTCCCCACACCGCCTCACCTCCCTCTCATTGAGTGCCATCATATCCATGAGCCGCCCCACGCCCTGTGGGATCACCAGAATTGCCTCCTGTAACCTGCCATGCGCCATCCCACGTACCATAACACGTGCCATGCCATGCAACCATGCCATGTCATCACAAGGCCGAACCAATCAAACAGAACACACGCCATGTCAGCACAAATGCCATGTCAGCGCACATGTCAGCCCAGACGCAGGCCAGGAAATGACATTACCATGCAAACACACACAGAAGGGGCGCCTCAACGGGGGATGCTGGATGTGAATACAAAGGCAACGACTTGCTCGTGTTCTGCAAACCTTTCTTCGACTGAAAAAGCGTCCCCAGCACACTAGGTGTCTGAGCTGAGCAGGAAACCACAGGTGAGAGCACTTTCAACGGCGTCTCAATACAGAAAGTATGCTTGCGTGCCCCTGCCGCACCTGTGCGGGCAGTTGAGGAGGTGACTTTTGAGTCGACTAAAAAACCACAGGTGAGGTGAGGTGAGGTGAGGTGAGGTGAGGTGAGGTGAGGTGAGGTGAGGTGAGGTGAGGCCACTTCAGAGGCGCTCAAAACAGAAAGTATGTTTGCGTGCCCCTGCCTCACCTGTGAGGGCAGTTGGAGAGGAGAATGGTCAGCAGCTGTACGGTGTGGTAGCGAATATAGAAATCCTCCTCCTCCTGTTGGAAATAGGATAGGAGTGATTCGGGTAGAAAGAGGGGGGGACGGAGAGAAGGCCGCCAACAAGGAGAGGAAGAGAGGAGGATGGTGAGAGCAGCGGCACAGTGTGGTAGCGAATATAGAAATCCTCCTCCTCCAGTTGAAGATGAGTGTGTGTTTCGTTGGTGGGAGGGGGGAAAGATAAGCGCGACAAAGAGAGGAGGATGGTGAGAGCAGCGGCACAGTGTGGTGGTAGCGAATGTAAATATGATCATCCTCCTGTTGAAGATAGGTGTGTGGCTTATGGGGAAAGAAGGATGAAGGGGAAGAAGGATGAAGGGAGAGATATGATGGACCAAAAAGGTGGAGAACGGAGGAGAGGTGGATGATCAACAGGCGTGTAATCATGCGTCCTCTGCTTTCTCCTCGTTCCCCTCCCCTTTCCCAAGCTCCTCTCCCCCCTCCCTTGCTCCTCTTCCCCTTCCCTCACTCCTCTCCCCCCTCCCTTGCTCCTCTTCCCCCTCCCTCGCTCCTCTCCCCCCTTCCTCGCTCCTCTCCCCCCTCCCTCATCCCCTCCCTCCCCCCCCCCCACATCACATCCACTCATCAGCAGCGCCAGCAGAAAGGCAATGCTGCGCGGCTCGCGAGCAAAGAGCTCCGAGTTGATCGCCCCTGGTGCCACCCGCTGCTGCTGCTTCCCTGCCCTGCCATGCCCCCACCTTTCTGCCATACCCGCCCCCTTCCCCTCCCCCGTGCTGCCTCCCCCACACTCTTCCCCCCTTTGCCTACCTGACCGCACTCCCTTACTCGCACACCTCTCACCCTAACGACTCGCGAGCAGCGCCAGCAGCAGGGCGATGCTGTGCGGCTCGCGAGCAAAGAGCTCCGAGTTGATCGCCCCTGGCGGGCGCCACCCGCTGCTGCTGTCTCACCAGGACGTCCCCATGCTCCCCTGCTAGGCAGCATCTTCCTTTCTTGCTCCCCCCACTAACCAGCATCTACACCCCCCACACAAATCCACTCACCAGTAGAGCCAGCAGCAAGGCGATGCTGTGCGGCTCGCGCGCAAAGAGCTCCGAATTGATCACCCCTGGCGCCACCCGCTGCTGCTGCCTACCCACGCCCCTGCTCCTTGTGATGCCCTGCCCCCCCCCACCCGTGTTGCCCTGCCAGCTCACCCATCCCTATGCTGCGACTCACCAGCAGCGCCAGCAGTAGAGCAATGCTGTGCGGCTCGCGCGCAAAGAGCTCCGAGTTGATCACCCCTGGCGCCACCCGCTGCTGCTGCTGCCCCCACTCCCTCTCCCTCTGCTCCGCGCCCCCTCCTCCTGCCCCTGCTGCCAGCCCTGCCACCAGCACCTCTAACGCTCCCCGAATCTGATTGGAAAAGGGAACGGGCATGAGGGATAGCGGTATAAATCAGCGCCATAAGCAAGGCTGCTCCTCTGCTCCACGCCCCCTCCTCCTGCCCCTGCTGCCAGCCCTGCCACCAGCACCTCTAGCGCTCCCCGAATGTGAAAGAAAATAGAGAAAGATGGTGCAATTAATAACACAATTGGGGGAAAAAAGTGAGATGTCAGAATTGAAACGAAGGTGATAGAGGGAAAGGGATAGGGTCTAGGGAATGGGGAATGGAGGAAGGGGATGGGGGAAGGCGGAAGGGGATGGTTGAGACCCATCTGAAGGAGCAAAGGAATGGGGAGAGCAAAAGGCATTCATTGCTCATTGTTCTCCTCCATCGCTCTTTCTTTCTCCTTCTCTCACTTGTTTACAGGCTTCTTTGCTGTCTCTCCCATCACTCACTTGCCCTCCTATCCCCTCACTCCTCTCAGTCCCCCTCGCCCGCTCACTCAATCACTCACAAACTCACTCACTCACTCACTCACTCACTCACTCACTCACTCACTCCTTCCTTCATTCCCCCACTCACCAGATCCACGTCTTCTCGGTCCTCCCGCAGAACAGATAGAAGCACAGGGATACCTGCCACATCACACGCACACGCAAGCACATGCGCAAGCAAGCACAAAAACGCGCACACACATGCACACACATGCACACACATGCACACACATGCACACACATGCACACACATGCACACACATGCACACACAGATTCACGGACAAGCACACGCAGGCACACGGAGGCACACGCAGGCACACGGAGGCACACGCAGGCACACGGAGGCACACGCAGGCACACGCAGGCACACGCAGGCACACGGAGGCACACGCAGGCACACGGAGGCACACGCAGGCACACGGAGGCACACGCAGGCACACGGAGGCACACGCAGGCACACGCAGGCACACGCAGGCACACACAGGCACACGCAGGCACACGCAGGCACACGCAGGCACACGCAGGCACACGCAGGCACACGCAGGCACACGCAGGCACATGCAGGCACACGCAGGCACACGCAGGCACACGCAGGCACACGCAGGCACACGCAGGCACACGAACATGCAAGCAAGACACGGGACTCAGCGATGGGTCGCTCGTTACAGATGAGAGCGGTTCGCTCGTTACTGCACAGCAGAAAAGGGCACTCTCCCGTTGCACGGAAACGGCTCTCATCTCACCATGTGAAACTGTGTGCGATCTGATGGCCTAGGCGACATGGCTGTAAGTGCGAGTGGCTGTCTATGCGAGTGATGTCTGTGCGACTTGATGTCTGTGCGACGCCTGTGCGACACGCACTCACCCATGGCTCCCAGCGCCTGCTGTGCGACAGGGCTGTCCGTGACGACGTCGCGCAGGTCGGCCATGGCGGACTGGCGATCCTCTGCGAGCACCCCATTGCTGATGCGATCAAGCAGCCGCTCCACTCCGCTGTTAACGCGTACGAAGTGTATTGTTGCATACGTGCAGCGGCGAATTAGGACAAGGACAAAAAACGTGAAAACTTCGAAAAAGGATGGCCTTGAATTGGCAGCACGGATCGCCACGCAAGCATGAATCGTAAGCAGACACAATCCAGGAACAAACTAAGAGCCTAATGCGAACTAATCGTATAGAAGTCAACAATGAGATTCATTCCGTCGCACGGCATCGCACGACGCGTCGCAGGCCGTCGCTTACCAGTCGTCTTCCTGGTCGTCGCCGCTTCCGAACACGAGCCCTCCCACCCCCTGCGCGACGGCGCCCAGATTTAACCGCCCGAGCTTAAACGCCATGGCCGATCGACGTATTTAATTACTCCGAGAAACTCTACTATTGAGATCACCGAATCTGATACCTAGCTAAGACTAGGAGTGTAAGAACGCTACATACGAATGATGTCCACAGTATCTCAGTTGGAGATTCGGCAACAACCGGCAAAGGCCAAAGCTGCTAAAGCTGAAGCCGAGTCTGAGTGCTCGTCGCAGGATTGATAGACGGACTCTGAAACAACTCAATCAAAACTCGATAGATAGACGGACCGACGAAGGATACTTCGGCCTATTGTCTTGATTCTGGAGAAATTTCTCTAAAAAAATCACGAGATTTCGTGAAAGAACGAGCCACGTGGCTCGAAACGAGTGGGAAAGAAGTGAGCGCTTAAGCTTTTGGAAGCCGACGCAGAAGCGACTGCGATCGGATAGATATTCCTCCCTCCACAACGAATACCATCCAGGAGAGCAGCGGAGTATGGCGGTAGCACAAGTCGCTGCAGAAAGCTGATGAGGTGAATTATGACGGACTATGCGCGAATATCTGACAATGCCCGCGATTCGCGGAGCGGCTAGGCGGCAGCAGTGGTAGCCTTGGGATTGGTGTGAAAAGGAGGAACGCGTTCGATGGAGCGGCTGCTGGGCTTAGCGCGCTTCTTCAGAGCCAGACCCGATTCTATGCGTTACGACGTTGACCCATCATTTGGTGTAGCTCCGCCAATTATAGGATATATTACATTTATAGTCTCTAGCTTTTATTTTCATCCTACAGTGACACTCACAGACCAGACGGTAGATTAAACAAGCTGTAAGAATATTATTACCAAATACCAAACTCAGCAACACGCTTCATTACACTCTAGGGACAACAGTAGCACAAATGTTCATATATTTGGAATGACATTATGGCAGGCAGGCTGGCATCCGTCCCACTGTGCCAGCATGCATGCTGCTGATAGCCTGACTGATTGACATCCATCTGTTTTGCGTTGGCCTGTCCTGCCATTGTGTTGGCAGCTCCTGCACTCACACAAGAGTGGCTATTTTTGAAACGTCAGCCCTGCTCTCCACCCCTTCTCTCCCTTTCACCCATTCTACCCTCGCCTCCCCGCCGCCTCTTCCATCATGAAAGCACCATGAGCATAAAGCAATAAGATTATTGACTGAATGCCTAGGTTGCGCAGTCTGCCAGCAAAACGAAAACCTTTGCCATTACTGGAAAATCCGCCGGTAAGCCCCTTCCAAGACCTCTCAATGCTACGAAATTACCCCTCAAACGGCTCAAAATACTTCCTATCCAACAGAAAAGCGCCATGGCCGAACCGAATCGCCCATGTGTCCTTCGGCCGGCGGTCCATAATCCTCCCTGCGTCCCCCACTCTGATAATCCCGTCGTTTCGCCGAAGCATTGGCATAGGTTCGGCAGACTTCACGAACGGAGGCTCGGCTACAATAACTACAGCGGTTCCGCTCTGAAGCACTATGTTGCTGCTGCTACCGCCGCTTCCTTCGCCGTCGGATCCGCTAGGGGATGCCCCGTCAGCAGCTGCCAGGGCTAAGACACGTGCGCGCACGTGGCTTGCGCAGCATTGTGATTGGCTGGCGACGCGAATCACGCTAAGCGGGGATGCTCCAGCTTGATGATGACTGTATGCGGACGAAATCGACGGTGGCGATTGTCTTAGGGACGTGAAGCGTGAAGATGCCGGGTACTGGCAAGCTGCAGCTACTATAAAAGGAAGATGAGCCGCCATGGGATCAACACTTTTATTTTCTTCTCAGGAGAATGACACCTTCACTCCGACTATCCGCTCACTAAAAACGGGAACTTGAAGATCAAGTTCCAGCAGGCCACGATGCATGCACCCTTACAGGGCGAAGTCTGAGTTCGGTAAAACTTGTAAATTTCTATGTCCAATGCTATTCCATTGAAATGTACAAAATTTCGAAGTAAATGTATCAAATGTGCTATCGTCCGTCTCCCACAAAATTTAGTAAATTCTCTGCAATGACCAACGAGAAATAATGAAGCAATTTTATGCTTAGTGGACGATTGCCTATCTTCTCATTTGCACCATATTCAGTGAAATGTTATACTTACATAATGGTATCATTCAACAAACTGTATATTGCTTTGTTGCCAAATTGCAGGCTCATACCCATCCCCAAGACGCGTCGCGTTTCCCTCGTCAGCTGGAACGATGTCCTCCGCTTCGCCCCGCTTCCGAGCCGACAGCTGGGCCTGTCTGGTATTTCCGAAGCTATAATCCACGTCAATTCCACCACCGAGCCATGCCTACAACAACCGCTGGAGTCTCTCAAGCAAGCTGTACGTCTCGAACCTCCTTACTAGGTTCGTTTCACACCGCGTCGCTGGTTTGCCTCGCCTATTTCACCTTCCCCAGCCAGGCCGATTTGGTGCGCCTCGGAAAGAAAGGGCCAAATTGCGGCGGAGGGGGCAGATTGCATTCGAGGGGGATGAAATTGCAGTCGTCGTGGTGAGGTGATGTGATGTGATGGACGGGAGTGTGCTAGTCTGAGTTCAAACTCGCTTCCTCCGCGCGACTCCACAGACAGCAAGCAATACATGCCATGTGTGTGACTGCGTCCGGACTGGACTTCCATGTTTCGTTCTGCGAGATTCCGCAGCATCCATTTACTCAGTTTATAGATTCAAGCTCCCTTGCGTCTATCGTTAGCTCTATCTCTGAACTTGCCTTCATACCGCACGCCCCACGGAGCAAAATTCGCACCAGCCTGCAGCAGACTTCCATTGCGTCTACCTCCGCTCTGGTATAATCCGCGTTACGCTAGGTCGCCTTCTTCAACAGGAGTATAAGCAGGGTCTCTGGAGAAACGTTGCAACCACACGAAAAGAATACGAGTGCATATTAAAAGCCGAGGCCATGGCCTCTCGCGTTCCTGCGTCGCAAGTCATTGGGGTTCTTCTCATCGCGCTGCTGCTGCGGCCCCATTACTCCCATGCCCAAGGTGAGTCCTCGCACCACTTGCGAGGCGCATCGCAGCATGGTTCTCTAAGGAATATGCATGCGTTTGTTTGACTCCTTTTGCGCCCCTTTCACACGTGCGGCGTATGGAGCCACGGAAAGCAGCAACGTACGGAGCCACGACCTAGAGCGCCGTTTGCGAAGGAGCGCTGTCATATTGAGTCCACACTGCCTTCAAGATTAACTTTCCATTAATAACACCTCCTTCGCATGCTGCTTGCGCAGAGTCGATAAAAGGCGTCGCGCTCATCAGGGGCGCGTCAGGGGAACTGGCCCCGCAGAGTGCAACAGTGTAAGGCATTTTCCTGCCTCGGCCTTCCGTTTCCGTCGATTTCCTCTTGCAAGTTCTTTCAAAGCCAGATCTCTCTACTCGACTCGAAAATTGCTCCACGCAGATTCAGTTTTATGCTGATTGCGGTATGCCATATTCTCCCCGTCGTGGAAGTCACATTTTCACCATGTCGCCACCTGCATTCCCATTAGAGTTTACTGCATTTCCCGCGTTTCACTCGATCGAGTTTTCGGGTCCCACTTTGAACATTCCCCTTGCTTCGTTCCACCTCTCTCCCGCAATATCCTTCCGCCCACACCAGAGCCGCTGCCACGTCATCACAAACGAACACCTTCGATCCTGCAACGGCGGACGCCGTGGCGGCGGAGGCGGCGGCGGCGGCGAAGAGGTCGCGCGCGCCTTTGCGATACAGTCGCAAGGAAGTGATCTCGTCGTTCAACAAGGCGGCGCACCTCCTGCGACTCTCCGCGAATAGCTTGACGCAAACGTCCCCGTGAGTTTCATCCTCCTCATCCTCCCGTACAATCCTCCCGAGTTCTTTCTGTTTTCCCTCCCTCTCCACCCACCTCTCCCGTCCCTCATTTCAACTCTCACCTCCCCACTCATCCAACCCCTCGCTCAACCCCCTGCCCCTCCTTACACGAGGCATTTCTCGCGCCTGTTCACGACAATGCAGGCGTTTCGCAACGCAGTGGCGCTGGTGGAGATGAATCATCTCACGACTAACCCTCTCCCCCTTCCCCCCCCCTCCCCCAACACCTCAGGCATTTCTCCCGCCTGTTCACGGCAATGCAAGCCTTCCGCAACGCAGTGGCGCTGGTGGAGATGGGCAAGCGGAAGTACAACCTCGCAGAGCCCCAAATGCTCAACGGCATTCTCCTCGTGAAGCAGGAGATTCCAAAGATCGAGCCTGCCCAGTTGGCTCGGGAGCTGGGTCGGCAGGCCACCGCGCTTGAGAGCCAGGCTCGGAATTACGCGGTTTCGGCGCTGAGGGTGGCTCAGAATGGGCTGACGTCGTTTGAGGTGCAGAAGAACACGAAGAGGCAGCAGGAGCTGAGAGATCAGCAGCTGCAGCGGGTGCAGAAGGAAAAACAGCAGCAGCAGAAGCAGCAGGGGGTGCAGGGGCAAGGGGGTGGTCAGTAATGGTGGCACGGCAAACCTTAATACGGTAACTGTGACTCCAATTTCAGGTTCGAACGAGCAGAAGCAGGATGGCGCCCAGGAAAAAGTAATTAGGGGGGTGGGAAAGGAGCTCAATTAATTTTGTACATTTGATTATAATTATGAATAATCAGAAGCATATGGATATTGATATCGATTTAGTGAAAGTCTTTTTTTCGAATGATGATGGATTTTGATTAAGGTTTGATAGTACTATTGCTTTATTGAACAACCTCGCTGCTGATGCAATTTCTGACTTCCTCTAGTTTTACTAGCGGAGAATGTAATAACGCATACACGCAACGTCAGATCACGCTCCCAATTGGTACTCTACGCGGCAGCCTGAGAGCCACGTTGCTCTTTCTCTTGTCTCGAATTGCCACGTGGATCCTAGAAAAAGCTTGAGGACCCTCGGATTTGTCGACCACTTCCACACGCACCTGCTTGGAGAAAGTGACCCAACCAGGCCAACCTTTTCAGTGAAATTTGTCCTTAAAAACAATTTGTTTTTGTCAGCCCGGCAACCGTTGGCTGGGTGTTTTCACGCAGTTGGGTTGAGAAACTCTTCCTCTCTGAACAGACCGCCTGAATAATCTTCAATCTGCCCAGCATTCGAACCCATGTCTGCAATGTACGACGACGAGCCGACACAGCTCTGTTATCTACCTTCTTACAGGTGTGTAGCGGTTGAAAGCGGTTCCACAGCCTACCATGCATTACGTGAAGTAAAAACGACATGCCTTGATTCCATCCTTTTGCTGGGAGCTCCCTTGGGAACTCCACTCCGCACATTCCACACTTCATTCCCTGCGAAGACCAGCGGCTAAAGGTTGTTTGTCAGAAAGAATGGCTGCAGTGTTGTGCGGATAAAGGTTATACCATAGGTCGTATCTCATTCTCTGCGCTACTGCGGGTTCGACGTCAATTCGCGATCGTTACTCCGCTTTCGCGCCTTTCGTTTCTGCAGTTGTGACCTTTCTTAGAAGCGTGTTGCGTGTAACTCGTTGTCAGGAGTTTCGAGTAACCATGGCGAGCACGGCGGCTTGCGCTGCGTCGCTAGTTCTCCCTCATGGGCCCAGCGCAGCTTTTGATCGCAGCCGCTCACTCAGTACCGACACGTCAGCACACGCATTAGCTGCGTCAGCCGGCCAGATTCACAGACATACGATCTCTTATAGGAAAGGTGCTTACAGCGGGTGTTCCAGTGGCGGGAGTGCGAACTCCAGGCCTACTCCGTTTAGAAATTCCTTATTTCCCTCCTCACATTTAGTGTCGGTAGGTTCTAGGAGGCTGTTGGCGACAGGCGAGCCGCTTACCTCTAGGTTCGAACCGCGTAAGTCGCGGACCGTTAGTCCGAGGCGCACACAATTGGCGACCCGAGCAGCCGTGGACACGTCACCTCCTTCCACCGGCCTCCGCGGCAGCAGCAGCAGCAACCGCCCGCCACGTGGCATCCCCACCGGCGGGAATGGCGCCGCGATTTCCAGTAACGGGTCGGCCACGCGATTCGCGCCGGGAGCGCCGTTGAAGCGACCATTGGAGCGGCCGAGAGACAGAGTCTTCGAGGAGGATCCGGCGGAGGAAGCGGCCGCTGCGCGCCGCGCGATCGGCGCGCCGCTGTACGACGCGCAAGGGCTCGCGAAATTCTACTCTAAACGACCGTTAGAGGTAGTCGGTCGAGCGCTGCGCGTCACGACAGCGCTCGGCTCAGTCGCCGCCTCCGTCCTGATCGACCGGCAGCGCGGCCAGCTAGACGCCAACATGCCGCGCCGAGCCTCGCAGCTTCGGCGCGCGCTGACGAGCCTGGGCCCCACGTTCGTGAAGCTAGGTCAGGCGCTCTCCACCCGCCCGGACCTGTGCCCGCCGGCATATTTGGACGAGTTAGCGCTGCTGCAGGACGCGTTGCCGACATTTCCCGATGCCGAGGCGTTTGCGTGCATTGAGGGCGAGCTGGGTCGGCCTATGGAATCAATGTTCGAGTCCATCAGCCCTTCCCCGATTGCCGCTGCCAGTCTCGGCCAGGTAAGGCTGCTTCACACATCCAGCATCACCCCATGACGCGCGTGCGCGCATAGAGGGCGAGCTGGGTCGGCCTATGGAATCCATGTTCGAGTCCATCAGCCCTTCCCCGATTGCCGCTGCCAGTCTCGGCCAGGTGAGCCCCCAAACCTCCCAGCTTGTCGAGTTGGCGCTACTCGCGCTGCTGCAGGATGCGCTGCCGACGTTTCCCGATGAAGAGGCGTTCGCGTGCATAGAGGGCGAGCTGGGTCGCCCTATGGGAACCATGTTCGAGTCCATTAGCCCGTCACAGATCGCTGCTGCCAGTCTTGGTCAGGTAAGGTCTCACACATCCAATGTCACCCTAGGGTGGTGTGTGCGTGCATAGAGGGTGAGCTGGGTCGACCCATGGAGGCCATGTTTGAATGTATCAGCCCGTCACCCATAGCTGCTGCTAGTCTCGGGCAGGTAAGGAGGAGGCCACACCCACACACACATGCCACCTTTGGTGGCGTGTGCGTGCATAGAGGGCGAGCTGGGTCGACAAATGGAGACCATGTTCGAGTCTATCAGCCCGTCGCCCATTGCTGCTGCTAGTCTCGGGCAGGTGAGCATGGAGCAACACTCTTTCCATGTGTTCATCCACACGACGAAACTCCCTTTCTCTCTCCTCCTGCTTTCTCCCTCCCTCTCCTCCCTCTGTTCCATCCCTCTTCCTCCCTTCCCTGCACCTCCAGTTGTACGTGGGCTTGAGACGTTTTTCTCTCTCTTGCCCCATCCCCTCCCTTCCCTCCCCCTCCTCCCTCTCCCCTCTCTTCCCTCCAGGTCAACAAGGCATGGCAGATCAGATCAGGCACAGAATTAGCAGCCAAGGTGCCATGCCCGGGCATCACAACAGCCATAGGGCTCCCTCCCCTTCTCCCTCCTCCTCCGCCTGCTCCCTCCTTGACTCTCCCGCTTGCAGGTGTACAAGCGGGTCAGGAACTGAGGTAGCTGTTAAGGTGCAGCGCTCGGGCATCACAACAGCCATCGGGCTCCCTTCTCCTTCTCCTTCCCCTTCTCCCTCTTCCTCCGCCTGCTCCCTCCCTGACTCTCCCGCTTGCAGGTGTACAAGGCACGATTGAGCTGGTCAGGCATGGAAGTGGGAGTGAGTGAAGGTGCAGCGCCCGATTATCACCACAGCCATCGGGCTCCTCGCCCCCCTCCCTCTGCTCCTTCCCTCTGCTGCCTCCCTCTCCTCCCTCTCTCTTCTTTAGGTGTACAAGGCGCGTCTCATTGGAGGCACGGAAGTGGCAGTGAAGGTGCAGCGACCGGGCATCACAACAGCCATCGGGCTGGACTTTCTGCTCATCAGGGGCCTGTGCTCGCTGGTCGATAAATACGTTGATTCTCTTACTACTAGTGTAAGTGCGGTGCACTGCGGTGCACTCTGGTACAGTGGCCTGCAGTGCGGTGCAGTGTGGTCCTGTGCAGTGTAGTGCATGTATAGCGACCCTGTGGGCATCACAACAGCCATCGGGCTGGACTTTCTGCTCATTAGGGGGCTGTGCTCGCTGGTGGATAGATACGTTGACTCGCTCACCACTAGTGTAAGTTGAAAACGGATCAGTGCGTTTTGGAACAATTCAGTTCGGTTTAGTGCGATTCAGTGCGGTGTGGTGCAGTGGATGTGTAGCGCCCCTCTGGGCATCCGGGCATCACAACAGCCATCGGGCTGGACTTTCTGCTCATCAGGGGGCTGTGCTCGCTGGTGGACATATACGTTGACTCGCTGACTACCAGTGTAAGTGCGGTGCAGTGCAGTAGTGTGGAATGCAGTGCGGTACTGTGCGGTGCAGTGCATGTGTAGCACCCTCCCAGGCATCACAACAGCCATCGGGCTGGACTTTCTGCTCATCAGGGGGCTCTGCTCGCTGGTGGATAAATACGTTGGCTCGCTCACAACCAGCGTAAGTGAATGCGGTTCAATGCGGTACTGTGCAATGCAGTGCTCGCTCATCGCTCCCTCTTCACCAGTGCATATGCTCGGTGTCATCCACTTGGGATTCTCATGATCTGATTGCCTACAATTCTACACATGTACTGCCACAAAACTGAACGTCCGTATCTGAAAGCCTCTACTCAGCCTGCCTTCCCCTCTGCCCCTTTCTCTCTCTCCCCCTTTCCCTCCCCTCCCACTCCCCTCCCCTGTCTCCCCTTTAACCCTGGCAGTCAGTGGCGCTTCTAGACGAGTTTGCAGACAGGGTGTACCAGGAGGTATGTGACTCTCTTCTTTTTCCTCCTCTCTTACCTCGTCTCTTTCCTCTTCTTTTTCCTCCTCTCTTACCTCCTCTCTTTCTTCCTCTCTCTCCTCCTCCTATAAACTTTGTCCTCCCCATTTTTTGGTTAAATCCGATCAGTTACGTGCTCGTACGCAGTCTTTGTGAAAGCCCTGCTCTCCCACCCCACCCCAATTCACCTCACCCCACCCCACTTCATCGCACCCCACATCGTACCACCCACCCCACCCCACCCCACTCCACCTACCCCACGCCCACCCCACCCCACCCCACCCCACCTCACTCCTCCCCACTCCACCATTTCAGCTAAACTACGTCCAAGAGGCCCGCAATGCCCGGCGCTTTCGGCAGTTGTACGGCAACCAGAACGGGGTATACGTGCCGCAGGTGAGCGGTGGAGAGCGGTGAAGAGGGGTGGGAAAGGTGCAGATACGTAAGGTGGGGACGAGAGTTGCTTTCGGCAGCTGTACGGCAACCAGAACGGGGTGTACGTGCCGCAGGTGAGGGGTGGAGAGCGGTGAAGAGGGGTGGGAGGGGTTGCAGGTGCGTAATGTGGGGACGAGAGTTGCTTTCGGCAGCAGTACAGCGACCAGAACGGGGTGTACGTGCCGCAGGTGAGGGGTGAAGAGGGGTGGAAAGGGGTGTATATGCATGGAGTGGGTGGATGGGGTGAAGCTGAGAGGAGCGATGGGGGCACTAATAGTAGTTTCTTACACACCTATGTGCCATGCATGTACCTGCACTGCACATACACATTTATGCACTGAGCGATGGGAGTAGTAGCTGCTTACACACCTATGTGCTATGTATACGCTGCCCACCCACTTGCCAGATCGTGTGGCGCAACACATCGTGCCGCGTGCTGTGCATGGAGTGGGTGGACCGGGGTCAAGCTGATCTGAGCTGAGCCGAGCTGAGCGATGAGAGCACAGACACACCAGTGGAACACATACTCACCAGATGCACCCACCGCCTTCTACCCACCCATCCCCTCCCCTCCCCTTTAACCATGCAGATTGTGTGGCGCAACACATCGTGCCGCGTGCTGTGCATGGAGTGGGTGGATGGGGTCAAGCTGAGCGATGCTGGTTGTATGTGCTTACACACCTTTATGCCATGCGTACACCTGGGACCCACACCACACCCCTCTCCTCTCCCCACACAGATCGTGTGGCGCAACACATCGTGCCGGGTGCTGTGCATGGAGTGGGTGGATGGGGTCAAGCTGAGCGATGCAGCGAGCATGAGGCAGAACAACCTTGATGTGATTGACCTCGTGGACATTGGCATTCAGTGCTCTCTCCGGCAGTTATTGGAGTGAGTTGAGTGCGGTTGAATGCGGTTGACATCGGTGGAGCTGAGAGAGCATGAGGCAGAACAACCTTGATGTGATTGACCTCGTGGACATTGGCATTCAGTGCTCCCTCAGGCAGTTGCTAGAGTGAGTTGACTGCTGCTGTTGACTGGTGTTGACTCACGCTGACTTGTTAGACTACAGGGTGTAGCTGAGTAATGCCCTTTCACTTCAAATTTCCTCCTTCCTAACTGTCTGTCCACACCACTTTAAAAATGCTTATCACTCCTAGTCACCACTCTTCACCCCTCATCACCCCTCTGCACTGCACAGGTTCGGTTACTTCCATGCGGACCCCCATCCCGGCAACCTGCTTGCCATGTCTGACGGCCGTCTGGCCTTCCTTGACTTTGGTGCGTGACGACATCACTAGACACTCACTCACTCACTCACTCGCTCCCCTCACTCATTGCTTGGAGCCGACTCACTCACTCATCCACTCATTCCTTGGGGCCGACTCACTCACTCATCCACTCATTCCTTGGGGCCGACTCACTCACTCATCCACTCATTCCTTGGGGCCGACTCACGCACTCATTCACCCATTCCTTGGGGCCGACTCACTCACTCATCCACTCATTCCTTGGGCCTGACTCACTCACTCATTCACTCATTCCTTGGGTCTTGTATCCCTTCACACCTAAAGCATGCTGATTTCTGAATTTCCCGCTTGAGACGTTTTTCTGTCTCAGCCCGATTCGCCATTATAGCCAAGGTGATTGTCACACTGTCCTTCATTCTCCCTCCCAACCGCACTGAACTAGATGGCACCGCATTGTACCTCATGCTGCTCTGGTTGTCCCCCTTCGCACGCACCCATCACTCTCTTCATTAGGCATTATGAGTGAGACACCCCCTCGAGCCCGCTTCGCCATCACAGGCCACACGAATGCCCCACTGTCCTCCCAACCGCACTGCACCACATTGTACCTCATGTTGCGCCACAACAACCCTTTTGCACCCCTCCGCTCTCCAGGCATGATGAGTGAGACGCCCCCCCGAGCCCGATTCGCCATCATAGGCCACGTGGTGCATCTGGTGAACCGGGACTATGAGGCCATGGCGCGCGATTACTATGGTAAGAGAGGATATGCTTATAACGGGTACATGTGTTGCAAGGCCTTGTCTCGCCATCATAGGCCACGTGGTGCATCTGGTGAACCGGGACAATGAAGCCATGGCTCGCGATTATTATGGTAAGAAGATAGGCTTGTAAGGGAGATGCTTGTAAGGGGGATGTTTGTATGGAGTACACGTGTTGTGATGTCCCATCTCGCCATCATAGGCCACGTGGTGCATCTGGTGAAACGGGGCTATGAGGCCATGGCACGCGATTATTACAGTAAGAAGATATGCTTGTAAAGGAGACGTTTGTAAGGGGGATGCTTGTAAGGAGTACATGTATTGTAGTACCCTGGTTGCTCCATCATAGGCCACGTGGTGCATCTGGTGAATCGATCGAGACTGTGAGACATGGTGAGGTAGGCCATGCCTCGCGGTTACTACAGTAAAGAAGATCGGCCATGGACCCATCCCACAGTAAGGGAGGGATTCTTCTGACATTTTCCAGTGAGCAGCAGCGCTTAAGCCTGAACCTAAGCGCTGCTGCTCACTGGAAAATGACAGAAGAGCTAGTGAGGGAGGGGTTTTATAACAAGTATATGTGCTTTTCGCCATCATAGGGCATGTGAATATCATATAGCCGTTTTCCCTTTCTCCCTGCTTCGCCCTGCAAACCAAACCAGAGCTCGACTTTCAGTAAAAGTGGCGCCTATAGTGCCCCTGCCTCTCACCGTTGCCTCATCCATTCCCTGAGGTGACTTTTGAGTCGACTCAAAAGTTGCCTCATCTCATCCATTCCCTGTTGCCGTCTGCCTCCCCTTGAAGCCACGTGAAAAAAGGAGTGTTTTGAGACGTCTCAAAAGTGCCCCTGCCTCTCACCGTTGCCTCATCTCATCCATTCCCTGTTGCCGTCTGCCTCCCCTCTCCCCCCTCCCGTCTCTCCCTTCGCTCCCCCCTCTCCGGCTTTCCCTCCTCACCCTCCCTTCCCTCCACGCCTCGAGGTGACTTTTGAGTCGACTCAAAGGTCACCTCGTTCCCATCGTGCCCTCTCCCTATCCCCCTCTCCGGCTTTCCCTCCTCACCCTCCCTTCCCTCCACGCCTCGCCCCCTCCACGCCTCCCCCCCTCACTCACCCCACCAGAGCTCGACTTCCTAGACCCCTCAGTGGACGTGGCGCCCATCATGCCCTCCTCTCCTTTGCACCTTGCTCCCCCCTTTTCCCCCCTCACTCCTTCCCCCTGCCCTTTTTCCCCCCTTTCACGCCTCTCCCTTCGCTCCCCTCCAGAGCTCGACTTCCTAGACCCCTCAGTGGACGTAGCGCCTATAGTGCCGGCTTTAAGAGGCTTCTTTGACGACGTTCTGCAGGTGGGGGGAGTGGGACGGGATGGGGCGGGGCGTGGCTGGGCTGGGATGGGATGGGCATGAAGTGACACCCTCAGTGCACGTGCCGGCCACAGTGCCAGCTTTGAGGGGTTTCTTCGATGACGTGCTGCAGGTGAAGGGGGGATGGGCATGAAGTGGCCTGTCGGTGCACGTGCCGCCCACAGTGCCAGCTTCGAGGGGATTCTTCGATGACGTGCTGCAGGTGGATGGGCGTGGTTTGTTTTGAGAGGTCACGTGTATGAATATTTGTTTTGAGACGTCACGTGTATGAATATTTGTTTTGAGACGTCACGTGTAAGAATATTTGTTTTGAGAGGTCTCAAAACAGATCTTCATACACCCGCCCACAGTGCCAGCTTTGAGGGGTTTCTTCGATGGTGTGCTGCAGTCCAATGGAAGCCAAAAGTCAGCTTTGAGGGGATTCGTCGATGGTGTGCTGCAGGTGAATGGGCGTGGGCATGAAGTGTTCCCTTAGTGCATGTGGCACCCATAGTGCCGGCTTTAAGAGGCTTTTTCGACGACATGCTGCAGGTGAGGCGGAGTGGGACGGGATGGCCATGAAGTGACCCCTCATGTGGCACCCACAGTGCCGGCTTTAAGAGGCTTCTTTGATGACGTGCTGCAGGTCGGTGGAGGGGTGGGGTGGGTGGGCTGGGGTGGGGTGGGGTTGGATGGGCGTGGGCATGAAGTGACCCCTCATGTGGCACCCATAGTGCCGGCTTTAAGAGGCTTTTTCAACGACGTGCTGCAGGTGGGGGGAGGGTATGGGAGAGGGGGGAAATGGTGGTGGTGTAGGTATTGCGTGATTGGTTGATGCAGGTGGGAATGGTGTGCGTTTGAAACTCAATCCAAAGATTGCTTTCCTGTGCTGACTTTTGAGTCGGCTCAAAAGTCAACTCAATCCAAAGATTGCGTTCCTGTTTTTTGTGGCACCGATCGCCTCCGTATCAGCACTAAGAGGCTTCTTTTGAGTCGACTCAAAAGCGATCGCCTCCGTATCAGCACTAAGAGGCTTCTTTCTTTGATGGCGTGCCGCATGCGTTTGAGTCGACTCAAAAGAAGAGGCTTCTTTCTTTGATGGCGTGCCGCATGCGTTTGAGTCGACTCAAAAGAAGAGGCTTCTTTCTTTGATGGCGTGCCGCATGCGTTTGAGTCGACTCAAAAGAAGAGGCTTCTTTCTTTGATGGCGTGCCGCATGCGTTTGAGTCGACTCAAAAGAAGAGGCTTCTTTCTTTGATGGCGTGCCGCATGCGTTTGAGTCGACTCAAAAGAAGAGGCTTCTTTCTTTGATGGCGTGCCGCATGCGTTTGAGTCGACTCAAAAGAAGAGGCTTCTTTCTTTGATGGCGTGCCGCATGCGTTTGAGTCGACTCTAAAGAAGAGGCTTCTTTCTTTGATGGCGTGCCGCATGCGTTTGAGTCGACTCAAAAGAAGAGGCTTCTTTCTTTGATGGCGTGCCGCATGCGTTTGAGTCGACTCAAAAGAAGAGGCTTCTTTCTTTGATGGCGTGCCGCATGCGTTTGAGTCGACTCAAAAGAAGAGGCTTCTTTCTTTGATGGCGTGCCGCATGCGTTTGAGTCGACTCTAAAGAAGAGGCTTCTTTCTTTGATGGCGTGCCGCATGCGTTTGAGTCGACTCAAAAGAAGAGGCTTCTTTCTTTGGTGGCGTGCCGCATGCGTTTGAGTCGACTCAAAAGAAGAGGCTTCTTTCTTTGATGGCGTGCCGCATGCATTTGAGTCGACTCAAAAGAAGAGGCTTCTTTCTTTGATGGCGTGCCGCATGCGTTTGAGTCGACTCAAAAGAAGAGGCTTCTTTCTTTGATGGCATGCCGCATGCGGCAGGAGTGGTGACGGGGATGGGTGGGTGGTCGTGGGCGTGATGATAGGGAGGGGCATTTTGAGGCGCCTCAAAATGCACCTCACTAGACGGGGATGGGTGGTCGTGCGCGTGATGATAGGGAGGGGCTCATCCCCGTCACCCATCCCCGTCACGGTGACGGGTATGAGCGCGGATTAACTCTCAGCAAGTCTTGAGCCGTATTCATGTCTCCCCATCAGTTTTGAGGCGCCTCAAAAGCAAGTCTTGAGCCGTATTCATGTCTCCCCATCAGTTTTGAGGCGCCTCAAAAGCAAGTCTTGAGCCGTATTCATGTCTCCCCATTAGGCACCTGTCAGCGAGCTCAACTTCAAGACCAGCGTGGATGGGCTCTTCTCGGGGCAACCAGAGCGGCTGGTTGGCTGTATGGGGTGCAGCTGACCTTACATCTGTGCCTGCCTGCCTGTACCCTCCTTACCCTCCCCCCACCTGCCCCTCACCTCGTCCCATCAGGCGACCGTCAGCGAGCTCAACTTCAAGACCAGTGTGGATGGGCTCTTCTCGGGGCAACCAGAGTGCTGCTGCTGACCTACATCAGTGAAAGCCTCGTTTCCTACTTCCATGCCTGCCTCGTTTCCTACTTCCATGCCTGCCTCGTTTCCCTCCTCTTCCCACCAGGCGACGGTCAGCGAGCTCAACTTGAAGACCATCGTGGATGGGGTGGGGGCAACCAGAGTGACTTACATGAATGCCTGCCATGCCTCCTTCCTCTTTCTATGCCCGCCTCCTTACCTGCCTCCTTCCATTTCTATCCTCGCACCCATCAGGCAACGGTCAGCGAGCTCAACTTCAAGACCATCGTGGATGGGCTGGGGGCAGTGCTTTATCAGTACCCCTTCAATGGTGAGTTGTTTTTGCTTCTACAACTTCTTTTGAGATAGATCCTTCGCTTCTACAACCCTTTGCCCTTTGTTCCTTGTTCCGGTCACGACCTGCCACGCCCCAACCCACTTCACCACGTTCTATCCCTCTCAATGCTCCCATGCAGTCCCGGCTTACTACTTCACCACGTTCTACTACACTACACGCTCATCCTCCGCTTCCTCACAGTGCTTGAAGGCCTGGCACTCTACTCCCACCTCCACCTCCCCACCCTAACTAGCTCTTGTCTTGTGCTTTCTTCCTCTTCATTCATATCCCTCCCCCCTTCCCCCAATCCAGTTCCGGCTTACTACGCTCTCATCCTCCGCTCCCTCACAGTTCTTGAGGGCCTAGCACTCTACTCCGATCCCAACTTCAAGGTAAGGAGGTGACTTTGAGTCGACTCAAAATTCATCCGGCACTCTACTCTACTCTGATCCCAACGTCCAGGTAAGTCTATGGATGGATCCGTGCCTTGGTAACTCATACCCCAAGACGGCTTTCCCCCTCTCTACTTACTTTGGTAACTCACACACACCCTTACAATTCCGACTTTTCCCTTTATCCCGACAACTCACACACAGTGTTTGAGGGCCTGGCAGACTCTCTACTCCAATTCCGATTTCAAGGTCAGCCCTCCTCTGCTTGAGGAAACTCAGAAGTTTCTGCTTTTTTTTCACTCTCCCACCAAACCAATCACAGGTGCTCGCAGCAGCATACCCCTACATGGCAAAGCGTCTCCTCACCGACCCAAACCCCTACCTGCGTGACGCTCTAATCGAACTCCTTTTCAAAGACGGTGTCTTCCGCTGGTCGCGCCTCGAGAATCTCCTCACCCAGGGGCAGCGCGACCGCGACTACAAGACAACCGATGCCCTCCAGCCGCTCATGGCCCTAATCCTAGGCCCTGAGGGGAAGCCGTTAAGAGCGCTGGTGGTAGCTGAAGGAGTGAGAGTCGCTGAGGCGCTGCTGGTGGCCGGGGCAGTGGATGGAGCGTTGGAAGTGTTACCAGATGCGGTTACCACCGCGCTGCTTCCCCGGCCACTGGTGCCGCTGAGGCAAGCGTTAGAGGCGGCGAGAGGGGGGGGCGGGGGTGCGGGTGGGAGTGGGAGTGCGGGAGGGAGTGCGGGGGTGGGGAGGGGAGCGGGAAGGGGGGATGCGAGGGGGAGGAGTATGGAGGAGATGGTGGAGTTGAGAGCTCAGGTGCTGCGGTGCTGGGCGTTGCTGAGGACTTCGGATGGGTTTGACCCGGCGAGTCTGCTTCCTCTCGTTGATGTGAGTGCTGTTGATGTTGATGTGGTGATGTGAGTGCTTTGGTAGTGCTGTGATGAATTGATAATGTTGGTGATGACTATGAAGGAGTATGAGGGAGTATGGAGGAGATGGTGGAGTTGAGAGCTCAGGTGCTGCGGTGCTGGGCGCTGCTGAGGACTTCGGATGGGTTTGACCCGGCGAGCCTGCTTCCTCTCGTTGATGTGAGTGCTGTTGTGGTGCTGTAGGGTGTTTTTGGGTATTCTCAAAAACACCCTGTGAATGCTGCGCTGCTGCGGTGCTGTGAGATGTGGTAAGAACGAAACGTCATTTGAGAATTCTCAAAAGGAATCACTTTTGGGAATTCTCAAGAGTGCTGCGCTGCTGCGGTGCTGTGAGATGTGGTAAGAACGAAACGTCTCTTCCTCCACTCTAATAGACGTACGGTTTGAGATGTCTGACAAGCAATTTGTGCCATCCCTCTGCTATCCCATAGGTGCAATATCCTTTCTGAGAATCCTCAAACAACAGGAGGAGGTGAGAGAGGTGGGGCCAGTCTCTGAGCTCCGAGACATCCAAAACCCATCCCAACCGATTGCCACTCCTCTACTGTCCCTCTGCCACCCCACAGGTGTTGCAACAGGAGGAGGTGAGGGAGATGGGATCGGACTTTGCTACAGCCTTGCTGCAGAGACTGGCAGCACGCTCGCTACAGCTGCTGCTACAACCTCCGCCGTCCTCCCAGGCCCCTGCACCTGCACCAGCTCTGTAGGGCTCTCCACCAATCAAGCGTCTGACTGAGCTTTCTACAGCTGTCCCTAGCTACTGCCCTGTAGGGCTCTGTCAGCTGGCACTCTAGAGCCTTATGGTGTGCTTGCTGCAACTGCCGTTTGCTACAGCTGCTGCTCGCTACAATTGTTGTTTGCTGCTACTTCTATCCTGAAATACTGTACCTGCTCCGGCTATTATGGCATCATTGTTTGGAGCATGCTATTTGAATCTGAAGTCCCCTATGAGTTGTAAATGAGGAGAGTGCAAGTAAGTCAGTAATGAGGTTATGATTACTGTTGGGCTGAGAAAAGCCCTTAAGATCTTTGCAGGGGTGAACTCTGGGTAGGACTGATGTAATAGCGGAAGCGTTCTAATGAAGTATTGTGAACCACCTTGCGCTAGTATGTGAGGGCAAAGTTGAATGATTAAAACAAAGCGATACAAGATTATTGTTACAGGTGCAATTGAGTAAATGAACGGGGAGTGCACTATCGAAGCAAGAATACAATGAGCGAAGGCATGAGCGAAGAATATATTGCGAAACTACAGTGGTAACGGTAATGGACTGTGGTTGTCGCGTGACGGGCCTGGGACTGAGGTTTGGGAAAGTGTCGAAGCGGAGGCCCGGAGCGCGGGTTACCAGCCGAGCCGTGAGGTTGGGGTGCGATGTGCGAAAATGGCGGGCTGATTGTCGATGCGAGGGTCGCGAGTGGTAACGGTGCTGACTGTGGTGCTATAGTGATGTACGCGTTGAGCAGGGATGCGAAGGAAAAAGGAATTTTGATTTTCCTTACACTACCCCCCCTCCTAAGGAGGTCCTCCTTACGAAAGTGCGTGGACGTCCCTGAAGTTTCGGCTGCGCAGATATTCGGTGAGAACAGGGTGGTTTTCGATTCTGTCCAGGGGAACCCAATTGTCTTCGATGGGTGTACGGTCTTTCCAGCGGATCAGGAACTCGATCTTTCGGGCTCCTCGAGGGTCACGAACTCTGTGGCTCAGGATTTTGTCGGGGGCGATGATTGGTTCGGTTGGCGGTCGTGCCATGCTGGCTGGGCGATTGCGTGGGAGTTGGCTTGTGGATGGGACGCAGGGGCGAAGCAGGCTGACGTGGAACGAGGGGCTGACGTACCAGTCAGCAGGGAGGAGGAGGTGGGCGGTGATGGGTGTTATCATATGACTGATACGAAATGGCCCACAGTATGGGGGGCGGAGTTTGGGTGTGATGGGCAGTCGGAGGTTCTGGGTGTCGAGTAAAACTAGGTCGTCGGGCTGGTAAGTGGCAGGTCTACGGTGGCGGTCGGCGTTGCGTTTAGCGATGATGTTCGATTTTTTTATTGCGTCTGCTGCCCTGGTCCGTGCCGCTTGCAGAATTTCAGCGAACTGTTGCGCGCGTGGAACCGGGTTGTCGGGATTCGGGGTCATGGGTACTGTTGGGTCTTGTCCGTAATTCAGGTAAAACGGTGACTGTTGGGTCGTGGTGGATGGGGCGTTGTTGTATGCGAATTCGATGAGTGGCAGTTGTTGCTCCCACGTGTTTGGATCGTCGCACGTGGCCCTGATGAGTTGCTCCATGGTTTGATTTGTCCGTTCTGTCTGTCCGTCTGTTTCAGGGTGATACGATGAACTAAACTGTAGTCGCGTGCCGGACTGCTGCCACAGGTTCCGCCAGAAAATGCTGGTAAACTTCGTGTCTCTGTCGCTGATGATTGATGCTGGTATCCCGTGCAGTCGAACGACGGTAGAGATGAAGAGGCGGGCTGTTTCTTCGGCTGTGATTGATTTCTTGCAGGCTGCGAAGTGTGCCATTTTCGTCAGTCGATCAACGACGACCAGGATCGCGTCATTCCCACTCGCTCCGGCCGGTAACCCCGTGACGAAGTCCATCGTCACCTGCTGCCAAGCACGCTCTGGGGGTGGGATTGGTTGCAACTGTCCCGCCGGCCGCTTCCGGGTTGACTTCATGATCTGGCAAGTGGGACACGATGCCACGTGTCGCTGTACGTCGGTCAACATTTCGGGCCAATAATAATACCGCTGCAGCTGCTGCCGTGTTTTCTCTACTTCGAAATGTCCCGAGGTAACTCCGTCATGTGCCTCCTGTAACAGTAGTTCCCGTAGCAGTGTGTACCCTGGTACCCAGATGTGTTCGGTCCCAGCTTTTACATAATAGACTCCCTTGGCTGCTGCGAATTGCTGCGAGTTTCCTCCTGTGAAGAATGGGTCCGTTTGGTATCCGTGGGTAAATAGTCCTGTCAGTAGCGGGCTGGTCTGGGCGAGTAGTATTGCATGGATCTGGGCAGTGGGGTGGGTCAGTGCGTCGGCGATATTCGAGGCTCCTTTTTTATAGGTGACTGTGTAGTGGAAATTTGACTCGAGGAAATCGAGCCACCGAATCTGTCGTGGGTTGAGGTGGGGCTGTGCGCGGAGGTATTGTAGGGATCGGTGGTCTGTCCGTACTGTTACGTCTGCGCCGGTCAAGTAGCAGCGCCACAGTTTGAACGCATGCACGATCGCGAGCATTTCGCGGTCGTGTATCGGGTAATTTCGTTCGGGCGGATGCAGTTTTCGTGATTCGTATGCGATGGGCTGTAGGCCGTTGCCGAAGTCCTGCAACAGTACGGCTCCAATGGCGATGTCGCTTGCGTCTGTAACAACTTCGAAGGGGTGATGTGGGTCAGCGATGCGCAGGACGGGTGGTGAACAGAGAACATTTTTCAGGGCAGAGAAGGCAGCATGCTCTTTCTCCCCCCACGTAAAAACGACCCCCTTGCGTAGTAAGTCTGTCAGCGGGGCAGTTAATCGTGCCATGTCGGGGACGAACCGACGAACATTATTAACGAACCCTAAAAAACTCTGCAGTTCCGTGATGTTCGTCGGGGGACGCCACGCTTTGACCGTATCCAGCTTCTTGGGGTCGATTTCAACTCCAGCCTCCGAAATAACGTGCCCTAAAAATTCTAGCCTGTCCCGAAAAAACTCGCACTTAGACCCTTTGGTGAGTAGCCGATGTTCCTCTAAAATTTTAAACAGTGCTTCGAGATCTACTAAGTGCTGCTGCTTGTCGCGACTGTAAACGAGGATGTCGTCGAGGTAGACGATCACACATTTATCTAAGAGTGGCCTAAACGCCTCGTTCATGGTCATCTGAAATGTTGCGGGCGCGTAGGTCAGCCCAAAAGGCATTACCGTGTACTCGAACGACCCGTACCTAGTCCTAAATGCTGTCTTGGCGCAGTCCGACGGTTCGACCCTAATCTGATGGTAACCCCCCCGTAAGTCTATTTTCGAAAATACCCATGCTATTCGCAGTTGGTCGATCAGTTCGTCGGCGCGGGGAATGGGGTACCGCGATTTGACTGTTACCCTGTTAAGCGCTCGGTAATCGATGCACATGAGAAACCCTCCGTCTTTTTTTGGTGTGAACAGGATCGGTGCGGCGAACGGTGACGAGCTCGGGCTGTGTCAGCCTGAACTGGCGCTGTACAGTTGGCGGTGCCCCCGGTTCTAACTCGATCCTATGGTCATGCGCCCGCTGAGGTGGCAGCCCTTGCGGTAAGTCGTCTGGAAAAATCCCCGAGTACCGTTTCAACAGTTCCTGAAGTTCGGGCGGTACTGCTGCCAACAGTTTCTGAAAATTGCTCGGCAGCTCCTCTTCTTCCACTAATGCTATATCCACTGCGTACACGTCAGCTCCAGCAGCGACAACCCGTTTCATCGTGATGGCGTTGACGTGGACCGTTGAAGACTCGGGTGATCGCCAGCGAGGTAGTTCGACCCAGTTACCACTACTTCGCACGGTGCAGCTACCCGTCGTCCAGTCAATTCGCGGGTTATACCGTCGCAACCAATCACGCCCCAATAAAATATCGTGCCCATCCAGTGTCGTTGCGAGCATTTCCTGTGTAAACCCGAAGTTCCCTCCGCAGCGGACTTTTACTCGCTCCACCTTTTCCCGTATGGCCAGTGGCGTGCCGTCGACTAAGCGTGCGTCTATCTCAGGTAGGCAACGGTTAAGTGTTAACTGTAGTTTTCGTGCGGTTGCGGTATTAACTAAACTATGACTCGCTCCTCCATCAATAAAAATCTTCACTGTTGCTCCCTGTATTTTCCCGGGGATCAGTACTGGGCAATCCGTCGCTGTACCCTCCTTATTCATCCGAGCCCGATCGATGGCGTGAATCGGTACTGTGACTCGGTGAGGGTCGGTGCGGTTGGGCGAGCAGGCAGTCTCGTCAGTAGTTGGCCCAACTTCTACTGACTGCTGGCGTTTCCCTGCCTCTGAGACTCCCTCCCGTGCTCTGCTCCCCAGCGCCTTAGCTCCTCTGGGCATTCGCTCTTGCGATGGCCCGGCCTGTTGCAAGCAAAGCAGCGCCCCTTAAACGGTGCGGCAGCTGCATTCGTTGTAACGGCGTGTACAGTGGCTTGCTCGGTCGGTCCCCGAGGGCGATGTCCGTAGTAGGACCCCGGTCTCGGTCGGCGTAGAATGTCAATTTTCTCGGCGAGCGCGAGAATCTCGTTGAAGTTGGAGAGTCCGCGCAGCATGATTTCGTGCGAGATATCCGGCTTCAGCCCTCCGACGTAACGGTCCACCCGCTCCGCTTCGTGCATGTAGCCGACCTGCTCGCAAAGTGCGAGAAAACCGCTCGTATAATCTTGAACCGACCCGAGCTGCCGCCAAGTGCGCAGTCTCTGACGCGCCGAAATGGAAGCCGCAATCGGCTCAAAGCGCGCCCGAAGCCCTGCGCACCACGCATCCCACGTGCTGTATTGGGCGGTCTCTCAGAACGAACTCCAGGTGACAGCTAGACCCGTGGGCCCTTCCTCGTGCGACGGTGGCTCGTAGGCGCGTGGTGACGTCACGATGACTCGCCACCAGTCCATGGCGGGGCCCCTTAGCAGCGAAACTGCATACCGAATCTTCGCGGCGTCCGACTCGACGTAGTTCGCGTCGAAGAAGACGTTCATCGTGAAGACCCACGATTGAACCGTCGGACCTCCACG